AGATCTGTGGCGAGGATGGGGGAATCTTGGCAGCTCAGTGCAATACAGCCCAAGACAGGGAGAAAAGCAGATAAGCCCCCCAAAATCCTGCTGGGAGGACAGAGCAGGACAGCTGCACAGCTCTCTTAAGAAACGCCTGAAACCCATGTGTGCTTTTAGTGACCACAAAGCCAGAGGGAAGCACGGTGGATGGCTGCCAGGGAGAGGAGCTGGGGTGGCTCACACGCAGAGAGGAGCAGAGATAGGTGCTGCTCTACGACCTCGACCCTTACAGCGTATTTCTTCTTTCTCTGCCTCTGCCTCGGAGCTGCCTCCCCAGCCCGAACCAGCCCAGCTTATGTTAATGTAGCACCTGCTACAGGGGCAGGGGGAGGTGGGCTGCAGTCCCATCCTAAACTAGCCGGTGCCAAAGGAGTACGCTTGGTGCAGTTGTCAAGTCGACTGACTTCATAGCTCTGTTGTGATTTCCTCCTCCTGCTGCATTCCTCGAATAGCGATATTTGTTTTGGAAATTCCTCTCCTGAACAGTTCTAGGCTGGTAATTTGGGAGGATGCGGGAGCTGGATGGGGCCAAAAGTTGCACTTGCCCTGGTCCTGTGTGACGGGCTGCCCATGTTGATTCATATGGCACTCACGGAGGTGACTGGGGGAAGCACTGCCCCAGTCACACAGCTGCTAAGCTTGTAGCTTATGTTGTTCTATCATTTATGGTCCCTCTGTTGTTCAGCACTTTGCTCTACAGCAGTGGTGGCCCAACAGAGCAGCCCACTCCTTCCACCCTTGCTGTCCCAAATCCCCACCCCTGACCTGGCTTCAGACTGTGCAAGTTGAAGGAGAAAGTACTTCCTGTGGCAGGACTGCAGCTCACAGCAGGGATCTGGCAGCAGCATTGCCAAGCCCTGTGGCACATTTTGCTTTCTCTGGTGGCCACCATACTCTATTTCATGTTGTCACCCCCTAAGATATTCATAGCTGTGCTGGATGAGGGAAGCCATGCAATCATGGATGAGTGTGAACACAGGTGTTTCGGAGGACAGCTGGTGATGAAGGGCTCCTGGCCTGTGTTTGAGAATGCTGAGAGGGAGACAAGTCTTTGGGCTGAAAACCGCAACATGGGAAGTCAAGAATTAAGGGAGGGAAAGGGGTTGTGGCATAGCTGTACACTTTTCACCCCTGAACAGCTGCTTGGCATCCTGGCCCTCTCACGAGACAAATCAAGTGCACAGAGAACATCCTAACACAAACAGGACTCAACAGAGGAAAGGGTTGTCGGCACCAAACTGAGCAGCTGTGCTATTAACCTCAGCGTGATGCCAGCAATATCTTGCCTGACTAGAGAGCAGATCAGTGTCACAGATCAGGGACTCATCTGCCACACTTCTGGGAAGCAGAAGGCACTTTAACGTGCTCATGCATAGGACAGAGCCATGGCATGGCAGATACTAAACACCTCCCCACGTCTGAAACCCTGGGCAGGCTGAAGGAGGGACATCCATCTCTGTCACTATGCATGTGCAGATGTCTACATGCCAGACAGCCTGGAGGGAGCGGAACCCCCAAAATATGCCTGCTTCAAAGCTGTGCTCCTTTCAGTGGGCTGTGGGCTTTTTCTTCAGCCACAGAGGCACTTCATCCACCAGGAAGGTTCTTAAAGTAAGAGGACAAGTTCTCTGAACTGCAGACTGACCCCATTAAGTAAGCAAGGGAAGGGAAACAACCTGCAGGATGCCCCAAAAGCTGGGCAGCACAGGGATGGATCAGAAGCTGAAAACCCACACTCTCACCTGCCCAAATACTGCATTGTGCTGTGGGTTCACACTGTGTCTGGAGCAACATCTGTGTGTATCTTACGCTGGATCTACCATACCTGGCAAAACATCACTCCAAGGATCATGTATATCTCTGTTCATGTATGCTTCTGCAAGGTCCTAGTATATAAAGAGGCAGCAGACATCTTGCACTGGACCACAGGACAGACAATAAGGATGCTGGGCTAGGAAGCTGCCATTTTCATGACTCCAGGCAAACCTAGGTAGTTGTGGAGGGTCAAACCCCCACACAGGAGGGTCAGTCCTGTGGGTCAACACATAAAAGAGAAGCAACATGCTGCACAACACCAAAATCCTATGGCAGAGAAAGCCTGAGCTGCAGCATTTTTGGGGGCAATTTCCAGGAATTAAATTAGCCTTGCTTCACTGCAAACAGACATTTACATACATATTACGACACAGCTGACGAGTGCCTGGAGCTGTGGCTGTACTGGGGAGAGGAGCTCCGGCTGTTCTGGCCCACGGGCAGTTGTCTGGGACAGATGTCCTCTGTGGCAGACAGGGCAAGGAGGCTGCTCACAGGTTACAGGACTTCAAGGCAGCTTGGCCACGACTTTGGGCATGGGGAAGTGTGAAACCAGCAGGCTGAGGGACAATGGTCTCTTGGAAGCGAGGTGCCAGTGTGTTCATAGCAGAGATGGACAGGGACCACAGGCCCAAGAAGGCTGACAGCAGGTGGGGGGCAGCAATGTCTTGGGGGATGGTCACAGGACAGGTTTTTCCACCCTGTGCTTCCTTTGGGCTGGTTCCTGCTAGTAGTCCTGCGATGCACCCAGAGGAAGCACACAACCTTTCTCAGAGCGTCATGTTTCAAGCACAGCTTGCTCCCAGCACACCAGTATTTACACAGCACTTACTGGTCTCAAAACAGAGTACTTAAAGAAACACTGGGGGACTTCCCCTCATCCGCACAGTGCCATTTGTCACCCGGACCTGCTTGCCCAGGTGGAAACAATGAACTGGTAATTTGAATCTGTTCACACAGTCTCTGGGTGGGGACTGAATACTTTAGCCCCCCTCCAGAAGAGAACATATTTTGCTGCACATATAAGACTGATGGCTACCTTGAATGTCAGAAAGGCTGTGGCGCCCAGATGACTAGTGGTGTTATGCCTTTTCCTGGCCTAGGAAGGTAGAATAGCCTATCATTCTTTATTGGTTTGACTTTAGCTCCTTGCACTTCCTTGCACAACATCAAATCTCTTCTGGCACCCAAACCCTACACAGTGACTGCTGAGCATACTCACTGGATGCATAGCCTGGGCAGGGAGGTCCAGCATGGGTGGGTACATGCTCGGTGAAGTCCTGCCCTTCCAACCCCACTTTCTCCTGACCCTCCTGTTCCCTCATATAAGCAGATGCTCACACAAGCGAATGGCTAGGGTGGCATGATGAACTGCCTGGGAGCTTCTATGCCCTCTGAGTCCCACAGATGCAAAAGACAGTTTGCATAGCTGCTGCTAACAGTAATTGGCGCTCCCAGCTCCATGCAGGGCCTCAGCTGCAGTGGGATATGTACAGAGCACACAGTGGTGCGTGCTAGTCCTTCACACTGGTAGCCCCTGCTCTCAAGCTGGAGCTGCAAAAACAGTTATCTCTGTGCCCAGGGAAGGACCATGCTTCAGCTCTCTTGTTGATCTTGCAACAACTAGTCTGAGCTAGTGTGTATCTGAGCACAGCATTTTGGACACTTGCACAGCCCCAACCAGCACACGGCAAAAGCACAAGCAGATATGCTTGGAGGAAGCTGAGAGGAGCTTCATGCTGAGCAGAGCATGAATCCTTCAGGTGGGCATGAGCAATCCCCATTCTGCAAAAAGGATCGCCACATTTAGCTGGCAGAAAAACTGATTTGGTCCCCTATGACGTATTTCCTGCTCTCGGGTTAGCTCAGACGTTATACACACTCCTATCCCCTGCCCTGCCTGGAGGGAAGCTGGGAACAGGCAGCTCTGTGCGCTCCCGGCCACCGCAGCAGGGAGATGCTGATTCACGCCTGCAGGTTGCCATGGAAACTGCAGTCATCACGACTGAAATGCCGTCATTCTCCCTTCTGCAAACCAACTTCTGCCAGCCCTGGAAAAAGTCAGCCGTGGGCTGAACTATGGCCTGAGAGGCACGGCTCCAACCCACCGCCGGCAGCGGAGACCGCAGGGAGAGACTCGGCCTGGTGCTGCGGCCTGTGGAAGGCAGCGAGCAAGCCCCTTCCCGCTGCCCTCGCTCCTGCCAGCCTCGCAGCAGCTAGGCTGAGCAGGGGGGCAAACAAGGTAGGTCTGAGTTTCAAGAAGCTCTTTTTTTCTGTTTCGGCTCCAGCCCCACAGACTCGGGAATTGGGTTTTCTTGCAGCTTCCCCCATGCAGACAGACAGCACGTAGCTGCCTCCACCCATTCCCCAGAACTGTTCCATTACCACATAACGTCTCCCTGCACCAGCATTTCTTCCTGCCACATGTCCTTCACTCCAGCTGTGCCAACAACTCTACCCCAGCTCACCACAGCTTCATTCCTGGCTGGCAAACTGACCTGTCCCCAGCCTGCCCCTGCTTCAGGCTCTCAATCCCAGGGATCCCAGCCCAGTCCAACTCTGGCCTCCCAGTGATGCCTGAGCAGATGGAGGTGCTGAGTGTAATTCATCACTCATGTTGATTATGCATTCCTGGTTGATTGACATGCCCAAAACAAACACCCATCTGTGTTCACATTTAAACACAGAAATGTTTTTCAGACCTGGCGTTCACAAAGGTTACTGATTTGCTTTACGGAGAACAAGAGGAAAACTTCAGAGTAGAAAAGGGGAGGTTGTTCTTGAATAAGCAAGTCTTTCTGTTATAAAAATGCCTGGATAGCTCTTGAGTCCTCTTGAATCTGAGTGTGGAAAGGAGACAGATGTTGCTGATGCTCTGCTCTATTAGCTGTTAGTCCAAAATTTGTGCCTGGACCTGATTAAACTGAAATCCTTCTCTTACATCTTCTCCAAAGTATTCCATCTATGGTAATGTGAATGCACTAAATGAGTCCAAAGAAGAAAAATCTTCCCCATTCTGACATTTCTGGACTAGAAATAACTACCTACAGGAAAAACTTCAGACCAAGGTCCTTATTCTAAGATCAAAGTCCCATATCTTCCATCCCCCCACTGGGGTTGCTTGTAAGTGAGAACAAACACAAAAGCCAGAACAAAGGGAGAAATTTAATGACTTTGTTTTGGGAACTTGGGTTGGAAAAATAAAACAGAAAGGAGTTCCTTTGTTAGAAAAGGCTGCAGCTTATTTTGTGAGTGGCTTCCATGTGGTCGAGAGTTGCACATGAGTAAATGATTATCCTGTTTCAAGTAACATCCAGGAAACTCTGAAAAAGCACCAGACATAATGACATTGCAGTTTCTTAACAAATCAAATTTCTAACCCCTGCTGTCAGAGTTACAGTATTGCTGTGACTACAATACAAAATAAGGGCAGATCTATAAAGATCCTCCTTTAGGGGAAATAAGTAACTTCTGCTAATGTTTAACTCTGTGGACTGTTGTTGCACCAATAGCTCAGGGTGGAGGCTGCTCCAGCATTTCAGCAACCCTTGCTCCACTAACGCCAGACTGTACAATAGTCAGAAACCCACACAGCAGAAACCACAGTGGTATTAACAAAAGCAACACTAGAAGCATGGTGTGGCCAAGTATCCCAAGGCCTCCAGAGAAAACAACGCCTAGCAGAAGCAAAACACAAGAACAAGCTAAAGGACAGCCAGCAGTGCCAAAAAGCCTCCCATTTTGACTGAAAAAGGAACAGGCTGTGTCACAAGAGCCACCTTTGCCTTTCCAGCATGCCAGGAGCAATGGCCCCAGGAAGAAGCAGAAGGGACAGTGCTGCTGGCACTTTGCACCCCAACATGGCTCTCACAGCTGCCCCATCCAGGCAATGAGTTATTTAGGCCATGCCAGCAAGCTGTATAGTGTTCATTCCAGTGCCTAGAACACAGCGAAACATCTTGCCTGCCGTCTTGTGCCAGCATGCCTGCTCACTACAGTCTCCCTGCCGAAACTCCTGGATTTCCACCAGTCTGATAACCTGCACCTGGGCAGGTCTGTGGAGGATTGTGAAGGAATCTTTCTTGCACTTTGCCAACATCATCACCCATTTCTCCTTACTACAATGTATCCTCCTGAAGAGTTTTTTTGACTCACAGAAACACAAGTCTCCAACACCCCTCCACTGTGCTAGCCATGGTTCTCCTCATACAGCCCAGTAAGCAGTTTGCATTATTCACAGTGAGAATTACTTTTGGCTGATGTTCAAACTCATGTTCACAATTACCTCCAAGTCCTATTCAGCAGCTCCACCAGTTACTTCCCAGCCTGGATCAATGCTCAGGGTTATCCCTCCCTCACCCTCGTGCACCAGGTACCACTGGCACTTCTACTTGCTGGGCTTTGTGAGCATCCTGGTGGTCCAGTACTCCCATTTAGAGACGTCTCTCTGGAGTGAGGTTCAGCCTTTCACCGTGTCAGTCAATCCTTCATAATGATTATTTCCAGCACTGTTAAAAAAAAAAAACAAAACAAAAAACAACAACAAAAGAAGTATGTAAGTATACAGGTACATATGTGTGTGTGTGTGTGTGTGTGTGTATAAAATTCCATTTTTCTAGGACTTAATCTTTTGTCTGCAGACATGTGCTGCTGCACTTCTCCTGTTTTTTTATGTACTCTGACAAAGGAAGACTTTTATTAAAAGCTGTAAAAATAGAAATATCCAATCTACAAAAGAGGAAAACAATGGGAGATAAGAGTTTTCTTCAGGGTGTTACCTGTAGAACCCTTGTGATACTTACGATCATTTCCCTGACTAGTCAAACTCTGAATAGCAGGATTTGTCCTGAGACGTGACGACAATTTATGTAAGCAACTGAAAAGCAATGAGGTTAATTATTTGTGAAATCCTTACCATAATAATTTTCCAACATTTGCTATCACACACCCTGAAGCCAGCCTGTAACTCAGCAATGTCATCACTGGATGTATCCTAGGTGAGTTTTTTTGTTTTGTTTTGTTTCCATTTTTACCCCACAAAGGTGTCCACAGAGTTTCTCCAGATGAAGGATGGTTTCTTACCCAGGTCTTTTTGTTGCATTCATAAAGGCTCCTGTAAAAGCACAGCAAACTGATGGTTGAAGCTGAAACGTGCCTTGAAAGAAGTCATACTCCTGTCACAGAGAAGCACAGCCACCACAGGTACTTGTTGTAACAATTTTATTGGTTCAGGCATGTTAATGAGAGGGCAACACTGCCTTCAGAAAAAAGCCATGCACCTCGGTTGTGGAGAGGTCTTCCCCAATTCCTGGTGCAGAATTTTGGAGTGTGGGGTGCTCCATCATGGTGTCATTCATGAGAGGAATGTCAGGATGGAGACAGTCTGAGAACAACTCTCCGCACTCCCCATGGCCTCGTGGGCTGGGAGGGAGGAGACGCTCACTTTCACATATGTATCACCGCAGAGGAACAAAACTCTTCACTGAATGCCAGCAACAAGTCACTGGGACCATTCTTGGATCTTCTGCTGAGTCCATGGCCTCTGTGTTGGTGTGGTTACTGTGACCTGGCCAACAAGCCCAAAAGGCCCTAGGTGGTCAAGGGTCTGACATGGGGTGGCAACCTGCTGTTTCAGCACAAGCCAGGAGAAAGTTCTCTTGGAGTGGTAGTTAAAGGAAGAAGGCTCTGTACAGCCTTCTCGCTACAATAGTGCTCGAGGTATGGTAAATTTGTTCTCAACAAATTCTTATTTAGAAGAATGAGAACAAAAGCCAAGCAAATCTGTGATGACAGCAGAATAATGGGAAAATTCTATTTGGGAGGGACCTCTGCAGGTGCACAGCTCCAAACCCCTGCTCACAGCGAGGACAGCTTCAAGGGCTTATACAGCCAAGCTGGTTCACAACTGAAGGTCTCGAGTAGGTCTTCTTTCCTTGTAGTGCAAACATCAGACCCACAACCATCATGGTGTGCCTCCGCAGATATCCTCAGCATAGACAAGTACTGTGGGTATGTTCATTGCCACCCTTAAGAGCACAGGAATCTGCCATGCAAGCTACCACAACTTGGATGGGCAAGGGAACAGGACACCAGGGAGGGACAAGGTCTCTATCCTTGGGTGGGTTTCCTAGACACTGCTGCACAAAGCCACAGCTGTCATGACCTTCTGCTGAGGAGACACCTGCTGTGTGCCAGGGCTGGAGTCCTTCAGAGGGCTCTGCTGCCTCCTGTGCTGCTGGGTCCTGTACGACCCTGTCCCCCAGCCATTCTGTGCACAGACGGATGAGAGCATGAGGAGGTGTGCACACACACCACACTGCCCGAGGTGCACAGTGAGCTGCCCCAGGTTTCACCTGCACTAGCCGAGGGCCATCTCCAGCCCCTGCCACCTCTGAGCTGAGCTCTCTCTGAGCACACTCATGGGTCTGAATGGGGGAGGGTCCCATAGGCTCCACCACCAGCACTGCTGGGGGTCCAAAACCATTCTGATGAGGCAAGTTAGTCATAAATAGCAGTGGCTGAAGGTGCTTTACTAAAGTTACTCAGTGAACTGGAAATCATGGTCTGTGGTACACAACTGAAATTAAATCACTAAACAACGCCTACAGCTTCTCATGTTGCAACAAATAAAAGAAAATTCTGCTAAATCTGTCTTTGTTAGGAAGACATGGGGTGCAAGCTGACCCACCTTGGCAGCTGTGAATTTCCTGTCTTGGCTTAGAGGGTATTCTGCAGGCAACGAAGACAACTCAGAAATGGCTTTGCTTTTTCTGAATGTCAAGTAGCTGGCTTTTTTCTCTTTGCCAGGAGGAGTTGGGCTTCCCCTTACTCAGGTTAGGATCCTGGCTATTAAAATAGTGAGGGGAGGGTCCCAGCAGGTACTTTAGAGTCTCTCAAACTGACTTCAGCCCCCATGAGATGTGTGCTTCTCAGTGACAGGGACAGGATACTTGGGGATCTCATCCAGCCACCCAGCTGCATGCTGATATTGCAGATATTAATTTAAACAAACAAATAAACAAACAAACAAACAAACAGCCACACCGCAGGAGGATTCTGCTTGTCTCCAAAGTGTGCCTTGTCCACTCTGAGGTTTGTCATGGTCAGGCTACACACAAAGCAGCAAGAAGACACCAGATCTGTGCTGCCACACCCCACAGGCAGCTGGAGTGTCTCTCTCTCCTGGTGGCAGTTCCTCCTGTCAGTCCAGCCCTCCCTTGCCAGCAGTGGAAAAAGCCTGGTGAGTTTTTTCCCTGCCCAGGTTCCCACACAGGGGTATGAGAAGAGTTGTGGTTGTCCCGCACCCACTTAACCTGGGAGAAATCACCCTTCTCCAGCGGGACGCTGCTCATTCAGAGGGACAGCATCTGGCCCCCTGCACTGCATCCCGCAAGAGACACCCAGACACGGACACACGGACAAATGAAGGGCAGGCAGCTCGGACATTTTGAGGCACCAAAACTGCTTTTGTTTGGTGTGTCAGGGACGAATGGCCTGAAGAGAGAGCTCTTGCTCCTGCCGCTGGTGTCTGAAATCCCAGCCACCTGGATGCCTTCCTGCCATGCCACACAGGAAAGTGCGGTGACCCGTGTGTAATCAAACCCCAGCCCTCCGAGTCTGCAACCTGGGCGCAGATGAGTCTCTCCATGCTGTCAGATAATTTGCTTTGCTCCAGAGCCGGACCTCAGTTACATGCAAAGGCGTTTCATGCTGGTGACAAAGCAGCCAGATCACTGCTCCTGGAAGAGCAGACTGAGTATCTTGCTGGTGCTGACAATCCCCAGTCAGGGACTGGGACTGAGGCTAATCCTGAAGAAAGGCTGCCACCTGCCAAGCCACAAACACCATTCCCTGTCCCTTCCTTATTCCTACTGCTCATGTTATCACATCTTGCCTCATTTTTAAAAGGGTTCAAGAGCCCAGCCCAAGATTACAACTTGAAAATATAACACAACCTCCAAGTTAAATATACTCAATCCTGTTTGTCAGCAGGAAGTGCCATTATTCATGATTAGTCTCCAGTTACACAGAAATTATTCTTCTCACAGTTCCCCCCTGCCTGCAGTCCTTAAAAATGAAAGGCAAATGTCTTGAATCATTTTTTGCCTGTGAATAACAGTTCTTTCAGAGTAATTTCTAATTTCGCTTCTAACGTTGAAACAGTTTTGACAGGAGTCACCCATTAAAATTGCTCCAAATGGCTACAACATCCAGCTTCAGAATAAATCTGTAACGTGGTCTTCCCTGACAAGATGATACAGCCTAAGTACACCATGCTGTGTTTTGCTTTGAGGAGTCTCTGTGCACCCAAATAAATGCATGGCTGCCCTCATATCACAAGTAATTTAGGACTTCAAAAACCATGTGAATAAAAAGCATAGTGGGCACATCCACGAAAACTGTGCAGGGGCGCCTGCATCTCTATTGGTTTAATGCATTCCTGTGCCCCTGGACCAGTGCATAGCATGTATGCGTGGCTTCTGCAGATGCTCTGTGCTATTTGCATGTGGAAATGCTGTGGGGTTGGAACCTGAAAACTGTCCTCCATGGGAACTTCAGCGACTGCCTGGCTATCTGCAAGTTGTGCTTGATCTCCCCATGCTCCTCAGCTGCTGCTCCTCACTGCAAATGGCAGAAAACTTCCCTGCACAACTGGGTGTTAGCATTACCTTCCCTGGCCTCCTTCCAGCATTCCCTTTCCCTAACCAGCCTTAGGTCAGCCTCTTCTCACAGCCTGGGGAAGGTTCCAGTACTTCCAAGATGCCCAAGCCAGAAGTCAGAGGGCTGAGATGAAGCCAGTGGGCAGTCCGAGAACGGGCCATTCACACACTGCTGCAGATTCCTTTGGATGTCCAGGCACACGCGAGGAGCACAGGCAAGCCGGAGACTCTCCCTTCACCAGCTGTTCACCCAAATCAGAGCTCAGGCCCCACTGTGGCCAGATTCAGTCCTTGATCCTGCAACAGTGGGGTAGGCTTTGTCCAAAAAAGGATGTGAAACCTCCAGCTCAAGGACTGCAGGTGGCCTGCCACTGAATGTAGGTGCAGGAAATCTCTGACCACACTCAGGCCATCCTTTCACCTCTCAAAAGGAGAAGTAAGAGTGGCTCCAGCTCTAACCACACTCTATGCAAGTCACCTTTTGCAGCGAAGGCCACCTTCCAGGTAAACAGCAGTTCCCACGCCTTGCCCTGGGTACCCGGCCAAGAGAGGAGGAAACCCTGGGCAGCTCTCAGGATCTTTGCTGATCCACTGCACACAATGTCTGGTGGAAAGGTAGGTTTCAACCCATACCAAGAAAAGATAAGAAAAAGCCCACAGCTAATGTCAACTGTGGGAGTGGTCACTGTGTTTTAGGAGGAAGGCCTGCTACCCTGTGTGACCTCAGCAGGCCGGAGGAATGTGCCAGAAGCTACATTGTGAAGTTCAGCACAGGAGAGGTGATCCTTCCTCACCACTTAGCCTGTTGAAGACTCACTGCTGTACTGCATCCAGTTCAGGGCTACCAAGTACAAGGAAGACACAGGCAAACTGGAGAGAGTCCAGCAGTGACCATCAAGGTGGTGATGAGGCTGCAGCACAGGGCATATGAAGAGACACTGAGGGAACTGGGCTTCCCCAGCTTGGAGAAGAGAAAACTGAGGGGCCCTCATAGCAGTTATCCACTGCCTGACAGGTGATTATGGAAAAAACAAAGCCAGACTCTTCTCAGAGGCAGACAAGGACAGGACATGGGGCAATGGGTACATGCTGCAGGTGCTGTCCCTGAAGCAGCGTTCAGTAAGCAGTGTGCAAAAAAACAGACTTACACACAAGAGTAAAGATATTTATTTATTCCATGTTTGTGCAAAGATGGGTGCTCGCTGATAATTCCACAAAGCTAGCACACCACACGAAAGAATTTCAACGTATTTATCCTGTCACATGATTAGAAGAAAAATCTAAATTTACATTCATCAGCTAATTATCACTTTTTCTGCTATTGGTTAGTTAAAGTATCTTCAATTAGCACACCTGCTCCTTACAGGTGTGGAGAGACAAGTCTGGTCTTAAACCAAGCTGGTGGTCACTCTCTCCCTGCCGCCTTTACCATTACCCCAGTTACCACTGTTTTTTGTTGACTTCATTCCTCTCAGGCAATTATCCAGCCTTTGGTACCTTTTGAGGCAG